ATTATATATTGAGTAAAATTTGTAGACCAAACAGTATTTCGTTCATTTTGTTTGTGCGTGCAATAAATATGTAATTTTTCAAGGCTGTTCATATGTCTGCTGTTCTGGGTTATGTGTATTATGGCCATTGTGTTCTGTATGTTTCCTTAGTAGTATCTTGTGTTTAGTATGTATTGTGCCTAGGCGGATGCATCCTTGTTTTATTTTATTGCACTTATGTATATGTTCTTTGTATCTTGTTTGAAATGATCACCCTGTCTGACCTATGTACTGTAGGGGACAATCCATGCATTTTAGTTTGTATATATCGCTACTGTCATATTTGTTGCTCATGTTGTTTTGGTTGTAGGTGTTTCTGTACAGTGTTGATTGTACTGAAGGCCATTCTTGTGTCAGTGCTTTTGAATATTTCGGCAATTTGTTGTGTTTCTTGTCCAAAAGATGTGAATTTTGTTTTATCGGGTTTTTTTTTTGTATTGGTTCCATTGTAGTTACATAATTTATTGAATTCTTTTCTGTATTTCTGTGGGGGGTTTTCCATTGGATGCGTTACATCTGTTAATTAGATAACTGATGGCTGACATTTTGTGTTGCATGTGGTGGCATGATTTACTGCTTGCAGTATATGTTGTAGTTTTGTTCTTCTATCGTAAACTGTAGGTGTGTTAGGCTGTTGCTAAATTCTTTTAGTGTAAGGTCTATGTCTGAGTTCTTTGTCATATATTAATAGCATGTTGGCTACATATCTGAAGTAGTCTATTATCTGGTGTTTGATAAGGATGTTATATAGGTTAGTGTTCTAGGAATTACAGTTATATTTCAGCGAGGATTGTGGATGAGGAGGCTCCCACTGCTAATCCCTCTTCTGTTTATAATACTCATTATTGAATTTGAAGTAATTTTGTGATAGTACGATGTGTGTTATGTTTTCTGTTTCTTTATGTTGTTTTATGTGTTATGGTTAATATAGTTTGTATCATAGTGGTGACTTTTTTGTTGGTATATTAGATACCTGTATATGGAAGGAACATATTCTTGTATCTCCTCTATGTGCAAATCTTGTAGGTCGGTTATGATATTCAGTGTATTTTTTATGTTGCATGTGCAGGGTAATTGCATGTTTTGTTTTAGTATTTTGGTTAGGTAAATAGCTAGATTGCATGCTGGAGAATCTCACCAGTTGACTATGGGCCTTATGGATACTGGAGTTTTATGTAGTTTTATTTGTGCATGGAGTTTTGGTGATTGTGGGTTCATGTTATGGTACTTCCATTGTTTGATTTGGGCATTGTTTAATGTTGCTTTGCTAAGGATTCAATGAGGTTTGTGTGATGTGTGTAAATCGGTTTGTTTGGATGAAGTCGCTGAGAATTTTGTTGTAGTCTTATTCTTGTATTGTGACTATTGTTTTGCCTTTGTCTGCTTCTGTTATTATTAACTTGTGTTCTGTTTTCTACTTTATGTCATTTAGAGTTTTCCATTCTTGTTTTGCCATTGTGTTGTTTTGGGTGTTTCTCCTAAGGTTTTATTGTTATTACTATCGTGTGTTTCGGGTAGTTTTATTTGGTTTGTAGTGTAGACTGTATTTTAATCATTTACTAAGAAACTGGGTATTTCCTTTCAAGCTCATACTTGGCATTACAATTTAACAAAATAACTACATATAAGTAGGAAGAACTGTATAACTACATGGCACTTATTTTAAGTTTTGATTCATAATTTCTTATCATAATGTGCTGTAATTGTGCGGACAGTATATGTGAGCATGTACTGGCAGCCATTCCATTCAAAAGAAAACAAGAAATCACTGCAACAACATAATTTGTAGGGTTCTAAAGGATAAAAACTTATTCTGTAACCCTTATAAGAAATCTACATATGTCTATTTGTCTCATAAGTGAATATGATTGAGCTCAACAATAGAGACAAATTTGTTTACATGGCTGTTTCACTATCTTGATTTATAAAAAAGGAATTCGTATGATGGATGTAAATAACCATAGTTAAACATAAATTCATATTGTGGTCTGCTGTGTTATGATGTGGTGGTATTGTAAAGTTCCCAGTCTGTTATTATTGTAATTGCCTCTGTGAAAGAAGATGAGAGGGGAGGGCAAAGTCACACTTCTGAAAGCCTACTGCATCAGTCTGCCACGTGACACCGTGCTGTGAACATACAGTGTTTACATGAGCTCTTTTTCAACTTCATTTTTCATTATGTCTGCGATGGATGGCGAAATTGAGCAATGTGTCTGTATCAAGTTTTGCGTGAAGCTTGGTAAATCCTCTACTGAAACCCTTGAAATACTTTATAAAGCTTTTGGAGAACATCCTTTAAGCCAGACAGTGGTTTTTGAATGACATTTATGTTTCAAGGTCGGTCAAGTGTCAGTTGAAGATGACAATCGATCAGGGCAATCAGGAACCAGCAGAACGATAGAAAATGTTGAAAAAATCGAGAACTCTTCCACCAAGACCATTGCCATACAATCGATGAGCTCACAGACACAGCTGGGATCAGTTATGGAGTTTGCCAGCAGATTTTAACAGAAGAGTTGAACATGCTCCGCATTCCACCTTCATCACAAAAACACGCCTGCACACCTGCCCCCATATCCCTGAAAACCGCAGAGTTTGTGACTAAGAACATGGCTATCATTCCCCATCCTCCCTACTCACCAGACTTAGCCCCTGTGATTTTGCTTTGTTCCCCAAATTGAAAATGAAACTGAAGGGACGTTTTGAAAGTCTCTGACATCCAAAGGGAACTGCAAGCAGTACTTGACAGCATTACGGAACATGACTTCCATGGTGCTTCTGAAGCATGGAAAAAATGACTGGATCACTGTATACGTTTCAAGGGAGATTATTTTGAAGGAGATGTCAGCCAAAATTGAGTAAGTCAAGCCAACATTTCTTTTTTGACCTAGCCTGGGAACTTTCCGATACACCTTGTAGTGGGGTACAAACATTTTGAAGGGTCGTACTGCCTCGATCTTCAGAGTAGAAGCCTGAAGTAGAAAGCAGTATATTCTTCCGAAGCACTGGTATCCACCTACAAGACTAAAACTGTCATAATCCAGAAGGCCACAAAATGAACCTAAACTGCAGTGAAAACCTCATATCTTATACAGTAACTTCCTTTCATGATGCATTTCTAAAATGGCATTATACAGCCCATGAAACCTTACAAGTAGAAATTTAACCAATCACAGTATATTAGTGTCCTTTAAAGAATCTATGCAGATTGGGACAATGAATGTGCGTCATATAGCAGAGATATTATATCAAAGCTATCACTTGTACCTTCAAGATTTGTTAATATAACCTCAAATCTCATGTTTGTTCCATTGTCTTGTTACAAAAGCATTCTGATTGATTCAACTGGATGGGTTCCTTTCAAATATTAGAACTATGACCTAAATACAAACTTTCTTTTGATCATGTTCTGTTGAATTATGACAATGTGAGCTGCTACAAAATCTGATAAATCATCTTTCTACCAAATCGCCAGCAGAATGAAGATCAAATATATAAAAATACAATTCATGTGCATATAACAAGAATCAACTAATGATCACAGATGAAATTAAAGGTCACTACTCAGAAAACAAACTTACTTCCTTACTTTATCAATTGATTTACTTAATGTGTCAAATATAATACCCGTACATCTTAAATTTGTTTGGAAAAATCAGTCCCCAGCCAATGAGGTGCTGATGGTAATATAAAAATATACATTCTGTACGAAATAAACAACTGAGCTTTCATTTCCTATATTCTGCTACCGAGATCTTTGTACATACACGACACCAAAGACAAGCAGCATTATTGCAGAACACTCAGGCACACTAAGGGTGTATAATAAGTTAAATGCAAACTAAAAGTGGTAGCTATAATAAAAGGGTCACTAGATTTTGTTTTGCTAGTTCAATAACAACATCGAAGAAAGACTACATATAAATCACAAGACACATACTATCATGTAGTGTGCGCAATTCAAGCCTCTCTTTCACTCAATAAGATTACAAATTGACCTTCTGTTCTACGTCTGATTCTTCAAGAAGTTAAGAGCTACACACTTAATTGATCAAAGATTCTCATCATAATCAAAAAGGCTTGAGCAGGGCCAGTAAAAATTCAGACCAAAAAATATACACAGTGTATTCATAGGCCATCTTGAATGTCACAAATAATTCTATTTACAATGTATATTTATGTTTCTACTTTCAATAATTATTAGTAACAATTTTCTTACTTTTCTTTAAGTACTTGTAAACAATTCTTATCAACAGCAATACACTAACACTTCTCTTTAACATACTGTATTATAATATCAAATATATTTAATATCTGTATACACAGGATATCTTTAATACTTGTGTACACAGAAAGGAGAATTTGTAAAACACTCAACTTATGGATAAAAATCTCATTCTTGGAAAGTGTGTACCTTTTCTGGATAATGTACATTTCAGCTTAATGCGAACAAACATTCGCACATGAACGTAAATTGTGACTAATATGTAAACCAATTACTATGTTCATAACAATGCCACTAATATCTCAATATATGGCCAATATGAACTTGTATGTTTTAGTCACTGTATTGTACTTGTCTGTCTACTTCATTACCATATTTACATAACTTTCAATCAGTAACTCTAGTCTACATTTCATCATTAACAAAATAATCAGAGTGTAAATATGTTCATAACATTACAGTTTTATATCAAAACTGGATGTGTTTATTTTTACACAACTAAATATATTCAAGCAACAGTATAAAGGAACTAATGTATGTTACTAACGAGCCATTGAATTTTGCTCCAAAATTTCATACATCAATTATCCATAATATAACACATGTATAAGCAGTACAAATTACTGCAGACATTTTATATTTTTGTGCTTTAATTCGATCATGATTCAACCAATTTTGACCACCCTATGTGAAAACAAACACAGGATTTTTTTTTCTGTTGTTTGACATGTTTCAGATATGATATTCCCTGAAGTATGTGGTTTTCTGGGTTATAACACCATGTGGTCTGGATAAAGGCAGTCTTCCGAGAAGAATATGTTATCTTGATCTTCAGAATCAAAGAGTAAGCTAAACATGAAACCAGCAGTAGAGGTGGAAAGATGACTCTTCAACCCTGAAGATGAAGAAGACATGACATACTGGACTTTCTCTGCGCTATACAGAGTAACAACCCGGAAGACCATATTCTTCATAGTCACCACTGTGAGAATCTCTAATCCAACATGACATTTTCCATTTGTGGGAAAAATTTCATCCTGTGTCACATATAGGTTTAAATGCATAGTTCACCTCTCTCACAGACACTCTCCATGACAAAAGCACTGACTTAGAGCCCTAATATTATTTTTAACAAATACACATAAAATTTTGGTTGGAAGACCTCATGGCAAGGGAACACTTTGGAGATTTAAATGTAGATGAGCAGTTACTGTAATAAGACCATGGAAAAGAAAGCTGGCTCAGGATATTGCCCACTGGTGCATTTTGTCATGACAGTTTTGAATATCTATCTTCTGTAAATCACAGGTTCAGTAGAACAGCTGAATAGATATCAGTTGTGAAAGGGGATTCAGTACCACAGATTCAATTAGTATCTTTTTTAACTACTGACAGCAATGAAATTCAGAAACAAACACTATTTTTTATTGCCAATGCAGTTTTCTGCCATGAAACTTTATGTCCATCATCTTCTACATTAAATGGCCCATCAATGTGGGCAATGTAAGCATCTGTTTGCAGTTATGAAGCACCACCGTACTGTAAAGATAAAATACTCAAAGCCATCAGTGATTCAAAACAGTGTATACGAATATTCAATAACTTGCTGGTTTTTGCCCAAAGGATATTTTGTATATTCCCTACAATCACCAGAAGCAAGCATCTAAAAATACAACTTTCAGGGGAACCAAACTACACAGCATCACATTGCAGAAGAAAATATTCATGTTGCATAATGTTTTTCAGTTGTCACAAAATAAAGCAAGAAAGAGCTAGTCTCAATCTCTGGTCTCCTCAGGTGTTATGAAGAAAAGGTTCCTCCTTGGCTATGCCAGTTAGAGCTCGTCTTGATCACCGGACCTGGGACCAGAGTCCAAAACGTTGCATTCAAAATACTCACTACGATTGCTTAATGGAAGGAATAAATAAGAAATATGTAGAACCTAATTTCAGTGCTACATGCTATAACGTATACAACTTTAACTTAAACACAAACATTCTTATCTCATTAACGTAAATGGGACACTTCAATGTCTGCACAACAAAATTTATGCACATAGATAACAGTTTACTGTTAATAAAGATGTACATGGTTTGCATACTTCCTGCTGTGTTTGTTGACTTAAACTGTGTATACAACTATTGTACCTATCCTGAAGATATCAAAAATTGGCTGAAACATGTTACAAAAACTTTGAAATAACTGAGTAACTGTCTTCTCTTTTAAAACAACAAATCTGGCCTTAAAATTAGGCAAAGGAAGAAAAGTATAATTACTGTTTGGTCCTAATTTTTAGTTACTATTTACCACAGTTGTATAACAGAAAATACTTTTTGGCATAGTTTTCCAAAGGCATTAAAGTAGATAATAATTATTAGGACAATGAAAATTGGATGATAGTCTCTTTATCAACAAACATTTCACTTTGATTCAAAATTGCATGAAGGTTCATCAAGATTAATAACTATGGCCACTACACATTCTGGCAAGAGAAATGGAGCAAATTTCATAACAATCTCATACACCACCGGTCAAATTTACTATCAAATGAGCAATATAAATTCACAAAGGACAAAAATTTGTAATTTGATGATGTGATTGTTATTGATGACACTGCTTGGGTAAAAGTAACTGGGTGCAATTGAATATAATGATATGACATACTAAGAAATATTTAAGTAAATTCTTCTTCACTGGGGTGATTATTCTGATCTTATTACCTTTTAAGTAGACTGATTTTAAGGCAACTTCAGAAAAATTAACTGAAAGTATGAGAGTATAACTATATGGGCCTTTGTCCATTTGGTGGTTTGTTGTTATAAGAACTGACAAAATGTAATATAAATGGCAAATGTGCCTAATCATCTTGTCATGAAGATGTATGGTAACCCTACAGGTACAGCTCCATGCAATTTAGACTTTGGCATTAAATGGAGGTCAGGGGTTAATGCATCATGGTCTGACCTGAGAGGCAGGCTTAGCCCCTGAACCATTATGAACACAGCTAGGTATCAAATTGCCATAATCCTGCCTGCAGAAGACACTTACAAACTGACCTATCTGGTATTAGAGTTTATTTTTGGTTTTGTTTACTGTCCACTATGCAACATTGTTCAGGTATAAACTAAAATCCTTTTTGAAATTCATCACTGCACTATATTTGTCGGCCTACTCAGCCATCATCCGGTGCGTTGAAATTCAAGAGAACTGCTGTGTCTTTTCCGTTACTGCAATGGAAGTTTTCATATTTAAAATGTTTCTAAATGAAGTCAATGTAAGTTCCTCCTTCTACGCCACATGTATTGTCTTTTTTTGGTATGCCTGTTGGTATGCAAGTGTGCACTGTGGATGTTATATAACATTATGACCCACTTGGCGCCTAGCAATAAAGCCATTGTAATCATACACCAACTCCATTATTAGCACAGAGTGGGTTCTCACTATTTGTTACACACATCACTTTTACCTAACTCCATAATAGATCCACATTGACTTTAACTCTGTTATCCTTTGCAGTACCTATACATAAATGAGGTTATTCAGTAAAATTACAAAGATGATTTATCATAAATCTGAATACAGTGGGCCCCAGTGCTATACAGAGTGTTCCAAGAATACAGAGCATAACTTCAGGAATGAGCTCCTCATATGTAGATATTAAAAATAGTCTATATCAACATACGTCCAAAAATGCAGTTTCTGAATTTTTAAGGTATGTCTATGACACTCAGCTCTTCACATTCCCCTACAGTAAATGTTCCATATGTCCACCTGCCTGAATACAAGCCTCAGCTTGATGTCACATCGCCACCCAAAGACAGCCCAAAATTCCTGGCATGCTGCGTACTGTCTGAAAACCTGCCACAATTCGATTTCGAAGAGTTTCCTCATCATCCACTGGAAACAAATTCACCAACGATTTTAAATAGACCCACAGGTAGAAATCCAGAGGATTTAAATCATTTGAGTGTGGACGCCAGGCAATTGGTCTACCTCTACCTATCCACCAACAAGGAAACTTCTGATTCAGGTACCTGTGGGCAAGGAGTGAAATGTGTGGAAGCACCATTATGCATGAAGTGCAGTTCTCAATGAATGATCAGTGGCACACTGGCCAAGAAATCTGCCATGTTGTTTTCCAAGAAAGCTTTGTAATTCCACCCTGCAGACCTGTTTGGAAGTACATGGCGTCTGAATAAATTATCACCATAAATACCGGCCCAGATGTTGATGGAGGACCACTGCTGGTGATGCGACAGAAGAACCACATGTGGATTTTCATCTGCCCACAGATGCTGATTGTGAAAATTCTGGATTCCATCTCTTATGAATTGTGCTTCATCCATAATTATCACAAAGGTAGCAAAGTTTGGATTTGCACCACACTGTTGTAAGAACCACTGGCAGAACATTACTCATGCAAGGGACTCTGGTAGTGATAAGGCCTTTACATGCTGCAGATGACGGGGATACAGTTGATGTTCTCACAACACTCTCCAAACAGTTGAATGAGTGACATCCACTTTCACTGATAATTTTCCTGTGCTGATTCCATAAGTTTCATTCACAACATCCAGAATACCCTCCTCTACTTCAGGAGCTGTAGATGATGGTCATCTCCTGTTCGCAACATGAGGTGCAAAATCCCCATGTTCACGAAGGTGGCAATGGATACTTACAAATGTTTTCCTATCTGGACATTTTCATCCTAGATAACTTTCTTGGTACAAATGACAAGCCACCACAGCATACCATCTGCAAACTGTACATGAAATGCATATTGGCTAGCACTTGATTTGAGTACATCATCTCCACAACTTGCAATCGCCACACACTAAACACACAGATACTGTACACTTCTTCTATTAAGATTTGGAAACTTTCCAAGATTGTGTCAGACCGATATCACGACTGCCTTAGTGTAGTGAATGATGTAAACCATCTGCAGGAGTCACAAAATTCAGTTTATCATTCAGCTATTTTAGAAAGCCTTAACTTGGAAACTATGCACATTCAGACCTATGTTGAAATAAACTATTTTTATTATCTACATATGAGGACCTTATTCCTGAAGTTATGCCATATATTTTTGAAACACTCTGTATAGATTTTTGTTACTGAATTCATTCATTAAGGAAATCATATAGTAAGTCCACAACATTTAAAATACGGACCATAAATATGCCCTTACGGAAATCATGGATAAATATTAAAATTTTTTACAAAATGAAAATAACAAATTCAGTCAGAATTGTTTCTTTAATGTTTATCTAATAAGAAATTCATATCACATATGTACATGCATCAGTGATATAGCCGGATATATGGCTGGCCACTGGATAGTCATCTGTAACATGTCAGTGACATGGGCGAATGGATACTATTCCCATCTTATTCACCTTATGCAGTGTATTACACTAATATTAGTACAAACATGTGTGTACTTATTGTAACTGTGGAGCAAAAACATTTCTATAGGAACATAACTCCACTTGTAAATGGGATTCATTGGAATAAGAGGGCAAATGTTATGGAATTTCACAGTACAGGCACATTTTCAGGAACGCATCCCTTTTGTAATGTGGGGGTGCGCTGTAAGTAGTAGCAAGTGATGTAAACACTTTTCACTGAATCTCTTGCAAGTTTATAACAATTTAATAAAAAATCTATAGCTCTCTATTCATAGTGTAAAAACATCCAGTATTCAGAACTCATTCTGAGTTTTCACATTAAAACAAGCAGACCAGCAATGGGAATTCTGTCCCAAATTTTACACCACTGAAACAAGTTAGGCAATCCAGTCCAGATTATTCCTTGCCATAGTAAACACTGAGGCACATGTCAGCATTCGAATTGAAAGAAAGACATTTCATGACATCACTTTACTGTCTTTACATTACACATAACAGAGAACTGACCCTATGAGTTTACATAAGTACACTGGATTACACAAAAGACCTCCGCACTTTATGATAACTATGAGATACAGTGGCACTCCCATTTAACTTCCCTTGATTTAAGAGTTCCCCTCATTTAACAACCAATTTCAATGACTCTGAAATCATTAATCTCTCTGTGAAATTTCCTCCATTTAAAATTTTCATGATTTTAGTATTCAAATCCCCTGCTCACGAAAGAAATCTTAAATGGGTTTTTCATGGTATATGTGTAAAGTGAGACATCCATGTCTGTGGTGTGATACTACACAATGTTTTTTTGCTTCCTGATGATGAATAATGATTGTGGCAGAGAAGTCTACTCATTCTATGTCAATGAGAGAACACTTTCCAGTTTTATTCTGAAGCTAATAATATATAAGTGAAATGGGTCTCAGAATCACTGAGTTTTTGGACTTTGTCCATCGTCCAGTACTGTGAAAAACTAGAGAATATTACGTTTCGGAAACTGAATCTATCCTCAGGTAAGTAGGGGAGCCACCTACTCTGTTGGGTCCCTTAGAAAGTGCTAACCTCAATCACTGGACTGAGGTTGGCCCTTTCTAAGGGACCCAACAGAGCAGGTGTTTCCCAGCTCACCTGAGGTCGGAAACTAGAAAACACAATTTTTCGGAAACTGCATTTCTTTCCATCATAAGGTAATTAGGTGTCTCCACCTACACCTGAGTATGTAAAGAGATCCAGTTTCTGAAACGCCGTTTTTTCAAGTTTTTCAGAATACTGGACAAGGGACAAAGTCCAGAAACTCAGTAATTCTGAGTCCCATTTCACTCGTATATTATTAAGTCCAGAATAAAACTGTGAAAAGCGTTTTCTCATTGACACAGAATGACCAGACTTTTCTGCCACAAACATCGTTCATCGATAGAAAGTAAAAAGCATCATGTAGTATCACACCCCCAGACACAGATGTCTCACTTTACACACATACCATGAAAACACCCATTTAAGATTTCTTTGGTGAGCAGGGGATTTAAATACTAAAGTGATGGAAATCTTAAATAGAGAAAATTCACGTCAAGTTTATTGACTTCGAGGTCATTGAAATTGGATGTTCAGTGAGGGAAACTCTTAAATCAAGAAAGTTAAATGGGGGTTCCACTGTATTTTATACTAATCACAAATTGGAAAGTCTTATATATATGTTTATATGTTATATGTCATACAACATCATCAGAACCCTTTAGAATCTAACTAAAATGGCATTGTGTGAACATTAATATCTCATGAGGGGCTCTTCTGTGGCATCCGCTATGGTAGGTCGTGAATCCACATCTCTGTCATCAACTAGGATAACCGTTGCAGCACTCGGTGCAGAAGATGACTGGTCAGTGGGTAAAGAAACTTTACGAGTAGTGGCACAATGTGAAAGTGGTAGAGATGCTGAGGATGGTAATGTCGTCAAGGTACTACCTGACCGACGGAGTCTTCGATTAAAGCTTCCCCTGTGAATTCTTACATTTAACGCTTCCAACTCATGACTCTCACTTGTACTAGGATGTAAAGCACAGCCTGTACTAGATGTTGACAGCGTTGAATCAGAAAAGACGTTGCTATGAACTGTCTTGTTGACCCGATCAGCAGCCCTTGAATTCCCATTGCTTCTGTCTCCCCTGATGCAGCGTGTATATGAAAACTGCCCAAATCCATGCTGAGGTCCACCAACACAAAGCAGAGATCCTAGGAAAAAAGTGGAGTACATCCAACTAATGGTCATCACAATTACCAAGAACATTCCTATTTGGATATAGGCAAGCACTGTGGAAGGGAGCATGAAGGCCCCAGCAGCAGCTGTGGTCAGGGCTGCCATGGCTGTGGGACCTCCCATACAGGAGACGGCATAAGTTATAGCTAATTCCCTGTTCTCAGCCGAACACATGCGATAGTGGACTCCATAATGGAGACTAAAGTCAACAGACAGACCAATGGCTATTGATATTGCAATGGACTCTAGGACATTTAATGTCCATCCAAATAACACAAGTACTGCAACTGTCACAAAGATAATGCACAATATTGTGAGGATGGCATATAGGCTAATAAAGACATTCAGCGTGACAAGAAGCAATACACCAAGAGCAACAGCCATGGAAACACCAATGGATACAAGGGTATCCAGTGACAATGTACACTGCAGATCATAAAATTCAAGGTCACTCACAAACCAACCATTTCGCATACCAGGTGGAGCTTCTGAGAGCTCCTTACGTGTCCATGACTCAACTTCTTGGAAGAAGTCATCCATTTCAGAAAATGAAGGCGAGTAAGAATGATTACTATCATATTCGACAATAAGCGCACGTATTTTAGGACGTTTCCCATCTGAGAATTTAAGTCCTGCTACACCTGGTCTTAAGTATAAAGGGGTTTCATACAAATCTGCTATAGCTTGGACTATGCACATCTCGAAGACCCGGCGCTTGTAAGGGAAAACTGAGTTTTCACAACAAGGAGTTCTGTCAATATGATTCACAGGATCTCTGCAACGTCGCTGCATCCAGTTTTTGAAAGATACGATGAAGCAGTTTGGTAGAAGAGGCCCTGGCATAGACTGATAAAAGCTTTGCATTTTAAGGCGTCGACAGAAACGCAGAAGCCATCGCTGAGATTCTGGAGCTGCCATATCAAATGTATCATCATATACGATGGTGCCTCTTCTCCTGGGGTCCAAGTAATCACCATTATCAATAGGCAAAATTCCCCACACAAATCGAAGTGGCATCTTGGCAGTAAGAGCATCTTCATTACTTCCCTGCAAGTAAGAACAAACAAAGCACTCAGTGAGTAGAAAGTATAATAATTTTAAGAATAAAGACAGGAGTAAAGAGGAAAAAATTACCATCTTAAGCCGTTCAAACCAGAAGTTATCCCTGTAGACCACATCATAGCGCTCAAATGGATGCTGACTATCAAACAGCTGGAAGTTCCTAGAATCTGGCAATTTGAGACGAGGATAGTAGAACACAACTCCTATGCTTCCAAGGGCTATTCCTCCAAGGAGACAAAGCCAGAGGTAATGTAGTTTGGTGATAGACAACACAAGGAATTTATCCAGTAGTGCACGGGCCTGGCCTGCGGCCATAACAGCAGGCCGCAACTTATTGTGCCATGTGAACCAACGAGGAGGTACCATCGGAGCGAAACACCATTGTTCAGATACCACTACAGCTGCTGGCAGCCATGTCAGCATCAGAACAAAGTTTGCCAAAGTAGCGGTACCGGCAAACACACTGAAAGCATACATACCAAAATATAACTAAATTAAAGCAACTCTTGCATTTTATTAAAAACATACAAGTAGAATTGTATCTTTTAGTGTAACAACTCTAAATATGCCAAATACAGGTTAAATGTTTCAGTATCAAATGTATGCTATAATCAGACTCTGCCTTTTACATTTTAAGTGCTATAAATGTGTAGGCCACCAATTTTAGAATCAGTAAACTTTAAGATGTAAACTTCATATATCTATAAATATGGGTTTGATGATGGTACATATGTTTGATACTGAAACACAGTGTGACGTGTTGCGCTATATATGATGCCCCTCACCCCACCCCGCCCGCCGTGACGCGCCGAGCGGAGCCGAAGTTAGCCGAGTCCCAGCATCCTGGTAGCTATGCAATGCGAGTCAACAGTGGTGACGTCACCAAGGGATACCGCGGTTGCTAAGCAGCAGTAAACAACTCCGGACAGCGTTGCTAGCAACACGGCACCACACAACAATGGTGCCTATTACGTGGCTGTTTTCTGTGTTGTCCGGAACGAGGCTAGATACAGAGCAGCGAAGACTATTCACAGTTAGTTCCGAGTTATCAGCGATTAGTTCCGAGTCAGTTCCGAGCAAGCCTACGAGTCAGAGTGTGTGATCAACAGTTCTTCATTTAGGCAGCGGAGAGTAACGAGTTAGCCAGCAACCAGTCAGTTGTATTCTGGCATTTGCAGTGTAGTATTTGTGATACTGCCGATGACATTAATTGTGGATCTGTAAACTGTGTGATTGTAAGAGCGAATGTGCAATAAATTCTCTATAACCAATAAGGCGTGAAGTTATTTGCCGCGTTATACACCCAACACGTGACAATATAAACCTTATTTGACATTTGGCATATACAAACTCGTTGTTTGACTGAAACACACATCTACATAGTTCTTTCTTTAAAAGAGATATCTGGAACCACTGATACATGAACAAGTAGTTAAGGTCCATCATGTGTAACAAAAAAGTTTAACTGGAGAATATAAAAGTTTGCGAAGGCAAACTTTTACATTATTCTATTAAACTTCACACATGTGTAATAAGTTTAACGGGAGAATATACAAGCTTTTCAAGGCAGACTTTTATACTCCCTTATTAAACTCTTACACTTGATGGACTTCACTAGTCAATCATGGCATGTAGACCTGTTGCTAAATAATGACTGTAAACAACAGCCATTGATGGGCACTTCTTCTATTAGATTCCTAACACACACCAATGAATAACTGAGAAGTGGTGTTCTCTGTATGGTCCATGCTGAGAGGTTATAAGCAGGATAAGTCTTAGTTTTGTTAGTTGTGTAACAATCGCCAGCTAGTAAGGATGTGAACCACAGAAGCTGAAGAAAATACAGCGCTAGAATCATTTAACAATGACTGGTGAAGATACAGAAGTCTGAGAAGACTTACTGCATGCTGTAGTGAACTGCAGAGCATGTGAATTAGTAACATCACTATAGTTACTTGTAGTGACAACCTGTAAGTGTTCAATAAACCCAATTACCAATCCACGCTGTGTCTACAGTCACTCACACACATGACAATATAATTTCTTTATTATATTGAAATGCTGTTACTGTGGATCTGGCCAGTTCTTGGATTAAGTAACAAAACTATTTCAATAGCAGGAGTTATATGTTAGGAGGAAAACTGCATAAAACTGAGGACACCGGCCTCAGAATTCTGTTACCTTAGTCATACATTTCATATTGCCTTTCCTGTTATCAGTTATCTGAATCTGAGAAACCAGTCTTGGGACGAATACAGACACAGTCACTTCTATTAAATCCCATGTAAAACAGTATCTCTATGCCACACAGTGGAACCCCTATTTAATGTTCTCTGAATAAAGGTTTTCATTTGTTTAATGCTCAATTTCTGTGCTCCCATATCAATAATGCCAGGGTTAAATTTACTCAGCATAGTGTTCAAATCCACTGCACCCCATACAAACCTTAAATGGGACTTTCAATATATTCTGACTGATTCTTGCATCTTTTCTGGATGAGTTGCTGTGTAATGTGGTAGTTTGGACAGCATCAGAGAGGAAGCTAAGCAAGAAACCAGCATGAAGGAGGCAGGTGACTTTCCTTGTTGTCTGCTTCATGCTGGTTTCTCGCTTGGCTTCCACTTTGATCCTGAGGATGGAAGTGATATGTCTGTCTGAAAAATCAGTTGACTTTTGGTGGATTACAAAAATTATATCCCAGAGGACAGAACTCTTCATACCCACCACTGTGAGATCCTCAGTTCCTACATGGCGCTATATCCCAGAAGACAGAACTCTTCACGACCAATGCTGTGAGAACCTCAGATCCTACACAGCGCTATGTTGCAGAAGACAGAACTCTTCATGACCACCGCTGTGACAACCTCAGATCCTATATAGCGCTATATCCCAGAATATAGTACTCTTCATAGCCACTGCTGTGACAACCTCGGATCCTACATTCTTTCCATCTCTCAGATGTCTTCTTGAGCTCTTCTTGTAAAATGGTAAAGTTATGTTAACTAATTCAGCACTTCACCATGATGATGTATGAGTGAGTAGTCAGCTTCACGCTGCGGCCGCTTTAACCCCAGTACCCATTAAATAGGACAATGTGGGAAGGAGAAAATTCTTGACCCTACTGGGACTCAAACTCAGACCCTTTGATCGTCCATCCCGTAGCCAGCCACTAAACCAACTGTGCTTACCTCGCTCCTGATCTCTTCTAGTACCTGGCTGAACCATTTTCCTCTGTCCTCTCATAGAACTCTTCCCTTTATATTAATATCAAGTGACGGTCTGTTAGAGTGATGCATTGTATTGCCATAGATGCTGAGAAGGTCCAATGGGAATCCAACTGATTGTCAGTGTGTCTCCAGCAAAGTTGTTGACAGCCCCAGCAATCCAATGGCAGATACCAATAAAGCTTTGAAACCCATGAAAACTCTCAGCAAGAAATGATTTATAAGAAGAGAACTCAGACAAATTCACAATCTACAAATTGGAGCAATAAATGTGACTACTTTATCCAGTACAAAAGAAATATTCTGTCATGTGTTAGTGACTAGATATGGGGTTTGGATTGATAATTAGATTTATTGACCACTTATAACTCACAAATACAAATCACTATAACAGTCTCACTGATTTACACACTCTAAATCACTACGACTACAGCACACGACATCTTACGTTTCTTCACTAATCGTTGCTAGGTAGTGGCTGTGTCCTACATATAGAGCCTCGGAATGAATTGCACAGAAAACACCACTTTCAACAGTTCCTCTACTATTTCGTGGTGATTTGTTGCTGTGGAAAAGTGTTTACAATACCATTTCCTAGTAATGGCCACATTTAATTGTTTCACTATTTCAGCTTTAAGTCATCATGTCATAATACGAGGGTTGGAACTTTAATAGTGGCAACACTGCTGTAGAGACGCCATGCAACGGGAACCAAATAATGTCACTTATACCACACTTTAGTTACATACCTACCATACCTCAGAGCAAATGGACTCTCCCTTCCCACATCATGTGCATGCGCAGTGACGAGAAGAACAGAGCCTCTTGTTAGCTGGTGGTCTAATTTAGTGTTGTCGCGATGTTTTCGAAACAGGATTGAATGTGCCAGAGGCCGTAAAGCATGACAGTGTCATCAAGGTCTTCAAGAGGCTTGCAGGGAATCTTCATTGCCTTACAGAACAGTAGCAAGGTGGGTAAAACCTTCAATGAGGGACGCCAAAATGTGGCAGACACGCATCGGCCAGGTCACCCTAGTGTCAGTGAAGAAGTGTATGCTCTTTCCATGTTACTGGAGAGTGATCGATGCCATACGATTCATAAGCTGGCCCAAGAGCCAGGATTAGCGCATACGGCTGTGCTTCACATTCTGAAGGAATGCCTGGGCATGAGAAAAATTGCATCACAATGGGTTCTGCATGATTTGACAGAAATTCAGAAATGGCTACGATACAACGCTGCTCGTAACCACTTGGAGCGCTATGAGCACGAAGGAGAGCCTTTCTTATGCCGTATGAGTATCATTACACTGGATGAGACATGGGCCAAATCGTACGAGCCACAAATGAAACGCCAATCAAACCAATGGCATCATTACGGGTCACCACGAAAATCAAAAGTTTATCAGAACCCCAACAATGTGAAAGTTATGGTGATTCTCGTGTACGACTGTGATGGTGTTATCCTAACGCATACCAATATTACTGTTCATTTTTGGAACACAGCCTGCAACCAGCTTTGAGAAAGAAGAGGCAACACTTTCTGCAGAACCCACCCGTCATTTTGCAGGATAATGCTCAGCCGCATGCAGCACAAGCTGTGGCTGATCTGTTCGATCGATGGGGCTTGGAAGTGCTGTACCATCCACCATACTCCCCAGACTTAAGCCCTTGTGACTTTGACTTGATTCCTAAGACGAAGGAACCATTTTGTGGCATTCACTTCAGAACTGTTCCAGAGATTCTTCGGGCAGTAGACCGCTCCATTCGAACTATCAACACAACAGGCGCTGCTAAAGGTAGCCTATGACTACCACATCACTGGCAACGGGATGTACACAATGCTGGTGACTACACTGAAGGACAGTAAAACTTTGAAACATACATCTATTTTGTATCAGTTGTAAATAAATAGTTGCCACTATTAAAGTTCAAACCCTTGTATATATAAAATAGAGTCATTTGTGTAACCTGAAGCATCTAATGGCAGTTATGGAGCTGATGTAAGAAGCATAGAATGCAGACGCAGTGGTGAGGGAGGTGACAAACATGGATGGTGTGGCATGTTTGAGAGCATCATGTACCAGCTCAACCGAGATACCACTATTCTTCTCAGCTTTAACATACCGCCACACCTTACAGAAGATGAATGCATCATCTGCTCCGATACCTGCAATATGCAAGATATGTACTTCAGAGTAAGCAAAGAATGTGCTATATCTGTGACTTCACAGAAATGCTTCATATTTAAGTTAGTTATCAAGGTGGAGGACCACCCTTTGTTGGCATATTCACACCCCAAGCCCATAAACTGACATTTTATCCCTCCTGTCTTAGATGTGTCATGCCATTGTGAGAATCTAGCAGTAATTCTAATTAATTAACACTAGTGAAGTTCTCATCAAAATATAACTGCATAATATTGAAATTCCCATATATAACTACAATTTCCACAGATAACCCTTCTATCAAGATTAGTGGGTTTTTGGACTTTGTCCATTGTCCAGTATACTGAAGAAGATTAAAGCACACAGCATTCATGTCCAGTGATTGGGGTTAGCTCTTTCTAACTGACGAAACAGGGCAAATGTCTCCCAACATCATACTCTGATGGTGGACACAGATCAAGTTTCCAAGATGTTGTGTTCTTTAAAATATCAGACGGCAGACAAAGTGCAAAATCTCAGTAGTCCCAAGTGTCATACGCCATCATCAGAACCTTTAATAATTTGCAAACATCCTAATCCTTACACATTAGCTCTTGAGGGCACTTTCATCATTTCACCTTATATGCATACTATGAATTTGTAAAGCTCTGGAAAAACAGCTTGATAAAATAATGATTACAATATTGTACAGGTATCATTTTTGACACAGGTTTACACTATAATACTTATTGAAACTATGCCATTTATTGCTACCAACTTCTGGTCCCATTGTAACTAAGACTGTTTTGATACTGGTCTCCATGGGAATGACATTAGAACTCAATAAACCTTATGACCAACACTAGCCTATTTAACTAATTATGTAATGATTTAAGTGTCTACTACGATACTGTGATCTCACACGCACTCATGGAGCTGAGCCCTTCTTGAGAAGCTACCAGTTGTGCTGCTACTCAAGAATTTCCCAGCATTTTACAGAACCCGAAGGTTCATTACCATGTTCACAAGAGCCCTCCACTGGTCCCTATCCTGAGCCAGATCAATCCAATCCATACCATCCCATCATATCTCCCTAAGATCCATTTTAAGATTGTCCACCCACCTACACCTTGGTTTTCCCAGTGGTCTCTTTCCTTCTGGCTTTCCCACCAATATCCTATATGCATACCTTTTCTCCCCCATTCATGCTACATGTCCTGCCCACCTCATCCTCCTTGACTTGATCATTCTAATTATACTTGGAGAAGAGTACAAGTTTTGAAGCTCCTCATTATGCAATTTTCTTCAACCCCCTGTCACTTCATCATTCTCCTCAACACCCCGTTCTCAAACACCCTCAGTCTATGGTCCTCCCTTAATGTCAGAGACCAAGTTTCACACCCATACAGAACCACAGGCAAAATTATAGTTTTGTATATTCTAATTTTTATGTTTTGGACAGCAGACAAGAAGACAAAATGTTCTGGACTGAATGGTAGCAAGCATTACCCGAGTTCAATCTCCTCTTAATTTCCTCGTGAATCAGGTTTTGATTTGTTATCGTCATTCCCAAATATCTGAACTGTGCCACATTTTCAAAACATCTGTTTTCTATCCATATGTCATGATTTTGCCCTGCATTTTGGTGACGAGACAGCAACATATACTTAGTTTTCTCTGTGTTTACTACTAATCCAACCTCTTTAGTTGCGTCAATTAAAGTTTGTGTGTTTTTCTTTATGGTATCTACATTATCAGCCAGTAGATTCACATCATCGGCATAGGTCAACAGCTGATGTGTCCCGTTTAATTTCAGTCCCACCTGGGTTTCCTGGACCTTCCTAATGGCATATTCTAAAGCAAATTAAATGACCACAAAGAAAAACACAAACTTTAATTGACACTAGTAAGGAGGTTGCTCTAGAAGTAAACACAGAGAAAACTAAGTATATGTTGCTGTCTCGTCTTCAAAATACAGGGCAAAATCATGACATAAGGATAGAAAACAGATGTTTTGAAAATGTGGCATAGTTCAGATATTTGGGAATGACGATAACAAATCAAAACCTGATTCACGAGGAAATTAAGAGGAGATTGAACTCGGGTAATGCTTGCTACCATTCAGTCCAGAACATTTTGTCTTCTTGTCTGCTGTCCAAAACATAAAAATTAGAATATACAAAACTATAATTTTGCCTGTGGTTCTGTATGGGTGTGAAACTTGGTCTCTGACATTAAGGGAGGACCATAGACTGAGGGTGCTTGAGAACGGGGTGTTGAGGAGAATGATGAAGTGACAGGAGGTTGAAGAAAACTGCATAATGAGGAGCTTCATAACTTGTACTCTTCTCCAAGTATAATTAGAATGATCAAGTCAAGGAGGATGAGGTGGGCAGGGCATGTAGCACAAATGGGGGAGAAAAGGAATGCATATAGAATATTGGTGGGAAAGCCAGAAGGAAAGAGACCACTGGGAAGACCAAGGTGTAGGTGGGTGGACAATCTTAAAATGGATCTTAGGGAGATATGATGGGATGGTATGGATTGGATTGATCTGGCTCAGGATAGGGACCAGTGGAGGGCTCTTGTGAACATGGTAATGAACCTTCGGGTTCTGTAAAATGCTGGGAAATTCTTGAGTAGCTGCAGATTTGGCTTCTCGTCAAGAAGGGCTCAGCTCCATAAGTAAGTAAGAAAGGTCATTTAATTTCAGTCCCACCTGGTTTTCCTGGACCTTCCTAATGGCATATTCTAGAGCAAAGTTGAAAAGCAGTGATGATATAGCATCTCCTTGTTTCAGATCATTCTGGCTAGGAAAATTATCACATAAATGTTTACCTACACGGTCTTTACTATACATTTTGTTTAAACACATTTTAATCAGCCTAACTAGTTCCATGAGTAACCCAAACTCTGTCAGAGCATTGTACAGTACTTCCCTCCTAACTGAATCACAGGCTTTCTTGATGTACTGCCTCACTGTACTCCCATTTTTCCTCTGGTATCTGATGAATACAAAAGATATGATCAGTAGTTGACCTGTTACATTGAAACTCACTCTTATGATCCCCAATAATGTCATCTACGTATGGACTTAACCTTGAGAGAAGAATATTGGATAAACTTTTGTATGAAGTTAATAGCAGTGACATCCCACGATATTTACTACAGTCAGTTTTATCGCCCTTCTCGTGAACTGGTACAATTAAACACTCCCTCCATTGATTAGGCAATTTTTCCTTAGCTTATGGCTCTTAGAATGTAATATTTCACCACCTGCTTGAATCATTTCTGCCAGAATTTGATCACTACATGGCGATTTATACCTTTTCAAATTTGCAATAGCAATTTCAACATCAAAAGGCCTACGGTCAGGTACTAATGGCTCACCTGTATGTATTTCTATCTGCCTAACATCATTGACCCTATGTACAATCAATAACTGTGAAAAGTAGTTATTCCACCTACTCAAAATATTGTGGGAATCTGCAAGCAGATCACCATTCTCATCTCTAAGTTACTTTTAGGTTCATGACCCCTCTTAAAATCATTTATTCCTCTAGAGATGTCTTTTTCAGATCTTATATTGTTCAAATTGTCCCCATTTATTTTGCTTGGATCCTGCATCCACTGCAATCTGGCTTGTTTCCTTTGGTCTAATAATTCTGAGCACCATTTGTCGAACCATGGCTTATGCTTCTTCGATGCATAATAACCTAATGTTGTATTTTAGCGTCCTGTTGCACTGATTTTCATCCAACATTACAAGACTTGCAGCTAAGAAGGGAACACACATCACAAGACACGGTTTACACAGAATATAAGAAAAACGACCCCCATAGTGGAAGAACCACATGCAAGTTTTAATTATGACACATAAGATGAATAATCATAACAAGTTTTAGTGTGTGTAAATTTATTATAGTTGACAAATATGCACTTTTTAAATACTTTTTAAATAATTTCATAAAGGCAAACAATGAAATAGCTTAGCGTAATTAGGGCACCTGATGATGGCACTATGTTGCCAAAACATGTCGTGAAGTAACGGGTGAAATTGAGTGCACTACAAGACAGCAACTGTATACATATCATGCATAATAACCTACTCTCTTTGGCAGAAATTTTTATATTCTCTCTAAGAGGTTCCCAAGCATTATTAATATCCTCCTTGCCATTTAAGTTTTGCAAAGCCGCAAACCTATCTGAGATTTTAACGTGATATTGCTCTTTACCCTCTACCGCATTTAATTTCTTGAGATTGAACCTTTCCACATGAAATCTGTGCATTGTTTGTTTACTCACTTCCAATCTCCCCTTAACTTCTGCCATCACCAGACAGTGGTCAGTATCACAATCTGCTGCCCTAAACGATCAGACATCAAGTATACTTGAATGCTTCTCCTATCTATCAAAATATGGTCAATTTGGTTGTGCATCTTTCCATCAGGAGATGTCCAAGTAAATTTATGAATGTTACAATGTGGGAACATTGTACTTTTGACAATAAGATTTTTGAATGTGGCAAAGTTTACTATTGTAACTCCATTATCATTATAAATTTCGTGCAAACTCTCATCCCCAATTGTTGGTTTGAAAATGTCTTCCCTACAACTTTGACACTGAAATCTCCTAAAAAATTTTCATATGGTACTTATGGAATTTATTGAATACATGTTCCAGTTCTTCATAGAACCTGTCTTTCATATCAGCAATTTTATCTTCTGTTAGAGCATGAACATTCAGACTGATAATGTAACACCAGCGATCTCTTAGTATTATCACTAATGAACTCTGCACTCTTTAATTGCTGATATGATTCTCTTATTTACAAAAAAAAACCTATACCTAATTCATGATTCTCATTCCCCTTTCAATAGAAAAATGTATATTCACCTGCTCGTTCAGTGCCACCTCCGTCACATCTGACCTCCTGTACTCTTACTAAATCTAACTTATATTTTGAGATTTCTTCCACCGCTGCCCTTGGTGAACCTGTCCTATACATACATATATTTAACATTCCAAGTACCAAATCTCACATCAATTTTCTTTTGCTTAGGTTGTTTATCCAAATAATCTGTCCAGGTCAAAGGCTTCTTGTGATCTTTCATAGCAAGTTTATTTTTTACAGTGGAGTTGTTAGTCCCACATCCAACTCCCAAGCTGGAGCACCACCCCTTGTTGGCCATCCACAGGAATCTTCCTGGAGGTAAAGGGCAGCCAACCAGCGTGTAAGGCTGACCTCACCACCATCTGTGAGTCGAATGTCTAGAAAATGTGGGAGCCTTGACATCTCACAACCCTATGGGCCTTCATGTCCTGTAACAGGGACAGCCTTACCTGTTTTTCACACTGGGCCCCGACTGCATTACGTAGAGTTGTGACTTACCGACAGCTACAATAGTGGCCAGGAGATTCATAAAAGGAAAGAAATGCAGCTCAAAGATGACAGTATACATGAAGTATGACATCCCGAGCGAGAAAGCGACTGCAATGACTGTCATGATGGTGACAAACAGCGATCCAGTGTACAGCCACATGCAAACAAGCACAAACGTGCCTCCAGCACCAATCATCCAAGTGTCCTGCACCAAACACTCGTGAAACAAGGTACTCTTCAGGCCTGTGTATCAAATATTATAAGCATATGATAAGTGATAAAGGTGAGTTAGAAAACTATGCATTTTGAACATTTTCCATCATCTTTTCTTTTCATTAAAAAAACATGTTTCAGAAGCTGCTCTGCTTTTATCATCAGAAAGAACAAAGTCATTTGGATCCGTATGATGGTACATTTTGAGCATTAATGCAACAAAGTAGACATATTTTCCCATTTTATTGTTTTAATTAAAGATATTTCTCAAATGTCTTAAGAAATGATGCAACTAGACATAAAATATTTTCTTATTTACTTTAAGTTTAAAGAACAATGTACAGCAGTTCCAGTAAAACATACCTGTCTCACCATCATGCCATATTTGTGTCTCTTTGTTTCAGCTCAAAGTTATTTTGAAAGTAGACTTTTGAGCAAAAACATACTGGACTCTATGCCAGAGAATATTTTTCTACCTCACTGTTTCAATTCATGGTGCATTCTACAGTACACTTTTGAACAGTAATATACCAGATTCGACATAACTGGATATCTTCTTGTCTCTTTACTTCACTTCAAAGTACATTTGAAAGTAGAATTTTAAGTATTAATGCACCAGACTCAACATCAAGGATGTGTCTGTATTTCTCTGTTTCAGTTCAAAGTACATCAGAAACTAGATTTTTGAGCAGTAATGAATAAGACTCTACATTACAGGGTAACATCTCTTGTTTTCAGTTCAAAGTACATTTGAATATAGACTTTTGAGTATTAATGTACCAGATTCAAAGTCATGGGAAATTTTTGAATCTCATTTCAGTTCAAATAACATCTGGCAGCAGAGTTCTGAGTAATAACATACCAAAGTCCATAGCAACCACCTCAACATTCCCATGCTGCAAGGCGTGCAGATCAAGTGAATGGTAATATGCAAGGGTTGCAGAGCTGCGTGCTATTGGCAGGATAAGCATTGTGTTGACCAGACTGCTGATGCAGCAATTCTAAAGAGAGGAAACATCAGTATTATATTTCATGACCATCTAAATGACAAGTCACATATTAAAATACAACTAAAGAAACTCTAGCAACTCACTTCATCATTCATGGTGCTCCTAATGAACTCATATTTCTCATCACTCCCAGTACATGAGATCCACATCACTCAATAAATACACAATAAGTACAATAAACAAGTAATAATTTAATGGTAATAGCAGTCCCCTCCTTAGCAGACATGGTATGCTAACATCAGTTAAGATGAGATTTTAAGTAAAAAGGTAAAAAAGGTAAAGTTGTCCCTGTGCTTAGCTAATTAAGCACTATGCCATGAAGGCATAAATCCACGTTTTCTTGACCTTGGCACCAGTTGGAGGTGATTGGTCAGCTTCATGCCCCAGTTGCTTTACCCCCAGGGAAAGAGCCCCTGGTACCCATTGGACAGGAGGCTGGGTGGTCCCCAGAACTGGTCTCGAAGACATGGAGAAGAGAAAATTCTTGCCCCTACAACAACTCGAACTCCAACCCCTCAGTCATCCAGCCCGTAGCCAATTGCTATACTGATTGCACTATCCCAGTTCCCTGAGAGAGATTTGAGGTGCAAAAGAAAAAAAATAATCATTAAATAGAATATGAAATAAAAACACTGGAGGGAATTAAAGGTCAATACAAAGGATAATAAATTAATAAATAACAGACTAAGTTTGTAGGGACATGCTTTAAGAAAGAATAAAGAGAGAATCCCAAAGAAGGTTTAAATGTGAAAATTAAGGAAAATATGCCAGAAGACCAAGAAGAAAATGAGAACAAAAGGTCAAGATGTCTAATGACAATGGCAGCATCAAATAGCAGGAAAATGGAGAATAATGAATTGGACAGCAGGATGAAAGAAGTGGGTGTGGCATAATTTGGGGTATTATCTCAGCATTTTCCTTAAGGGACTGAGGTAAACCAAGAAAAACGTCAGTCAAAGTCCAGATTTGAGCTCAAAACATCTGGAATATGACCATCTGACCATGATGCTGACCATCATTTTAATGACAACTTACATACCTTACTTACTTTAAGATACTAACATTTGGAGGAAGAAAGTTGGCATCAACCAGATAGTACATAATGTTGTAAACTGCATTATGTTGTCTGCACTGTTGTGGTACCTGCTTGCAGAACCATAAACTTTCCTCCTGGCAATCTGGTGTCAGTGTGAGGTTGTGGTAATAGTGGGAACACATTTGCAATAATGCCTTTGTAGCATCCACATCTTCACTCTGCCAAAATTAATAAAAGGTGGTAACTGTAGAAAGGGTGGACTTCCTCAGGACTTCCACCTCCCTCCCTACAGCTTCAGCTCTCTAGTATCACCATCCTTGACACTTCACCTACACACACTTACAACAGCAATGCTACTAACTCCCACACTAGTATTTTATTGAAAGTATAGAGTACTTCAAATCTGACATGAATAATACCGTGTTCAGTGACTAGACATTTGATTCAGATAGATAACTGGAATTACTGAATGTTTATAACTTGTAACTACATGCAATCATAACAGTCTCACTCCAAAGATCACTTAACTACAGCATACATAGTCTTCCATGTCTTCACTAGTCATTGCTTGGTAAGGGCTTCCAACAACGGATATTCTTCTGCTTCTATTCTCACGTCCTTACCGGCTGGAGTCTACCTCAGAACTAACTAAATTCTCATGAAAAATCAAAGTTAAGGTCTCATTATGACCGACAGTCACTTGGCCAGTCTTGGTGTCAAGCCCCTTCTGGGGCCCCAAGAACAGATTTTTGTTACTGTCAGACAGTTGCTGTTTTGTAACTTTGGGTGCCGTGTCTGATGAGAGGATGGGTCTGACAATTGCAGTGGTCATAGTCAGCAGTATATTTCAATTCTGATTCACAAGTTTTAATACAAATTTGTGATGGCCACTATTCTGCCTTCTTCTGACTCACCCCCACTGAGCTCTATCATGAACTCCTGAAATATGGCAACTTTTAGGGTAGACCGCTTTGCCAAATATCATATTTAATATTGTGGTGTACAGATCTGTTGCTGGGCAGAGACCTCGAAATGACCAACAAGTACAGCCGTTGCTATGCAATGCACAGGTAAGTAAATACCCATCTCTAAGCAAAGATCAATACACACGTACCCGCAGAAACGATATCCAGCCTATCACTAGGCAACTGCCCGTGACAACGATAGGATTGATTGAGGCGGTGTTTTCTGTTGGGCCTGCCCCGGATATATATAATGAGGACACCAGCCAAGCTTCAGTCAGCTGTTTCCAGTTCAGTTGAATGAAGTGACTTGAAGTAGCTGGTTGGTGAGTGAGAAAGTTCAGTTGTCAGTTCAGCTGAAAGTCAAAATGTGAAGAGAAGACTAGGAGGCTGGTGTGAAATGGCTGACAGCCTAAAACCCAGTTAATTGAGTCATCAGTTGACAAAAGTTTATCACGGGCAGTGGTGACAAGAGGACCTGAGTGCAGGAAGCTGAAGAATCTCCCTCGGTAAAAATTGTTGCCAGGAAACGGCTAGTGGAGACTGTAACAGACTGAGGACACTAGTCTGTGTGTGTCAGTGACCTGTAAAGTACAGTTCTGAGTGGTGTATACAAGTGGCCAATAAATCCATTCACCAATCCATACCCCATCTATAGTCACACACCCCTAAAATGTGGCAATACATATCTGTTCAATAGATCTGGAGATGAAACATGACCTATTCTATTTGCATTTATTTCATGCAATTCGCATAAAAAAGATGCAAAAATGTCTACAATGAGCCACCAACTATGACTGTTGTTGCATTATATATTGTGTCAGATATTATGAGGCTATGCCCCACACTTACAGTGACTGCAAAGCAGGAAGGCCGATTATGCAAGAATGCAATGTAGTTTCCTAGGGACCAACTGTGGCAGCACTTTTCATGAGAAGTGGACTCACAAATAGTGTGGTACTCTTCACTTGCAATCATCTGAGCCTCAATGTGGCACATGGAGAGGATAGAATCCAATGTGAACAAATCTCCACCGCCGGTGGCACTGAACACTACTCGTGAATAGCCAGCACCTATGGAAAAACATATTCTTCTTTATTTAATGATGCTGTCAGTAGCTCAGACTACACAGCACTGAATCACTGGATGACAATGAATAAATTGCAAAGAATGACATGGAAGGAAGAGGTCATAGCATTTACCTGGCAGAACAGAGGAACGCCCTCAGACAAGACAGTCCATGGCCAACTTGCTGACTGATGAGGTTAAAGGTATGACATGAACTAAAATTATTCCAAACACTTTTAAAGTAGGTTCTCAAATAAGGAACGGCATAGCTAATCCCTGTAACAGGCCGCTGAGGCCCACTGGGTTGTCAGATGTTGAGGTGCCCACATTTTCTAGACAATCAACTCACAGATGGCGCTGAGTCTGTCAGCCTCAGGCACCGGCCGCCCTTACCCCCAGGAAGATTCCTGGCACTCGTTTCTGTTAGTGGCTGAGTCAACCCCAGCGCCATAGTGCAGCTGGAAGGATTAGGTAAAGGTAAAGGTGAAGTTGTCCCTGTGCTTAACTAATGAACCACTATGCCATGAAGGCGTATGGGGGAGTGGATGTATATTTCTTGACCTTGGCACTAGCTGGAGGTGAGTGGTCAGCTTCACGCCACTGTCGCTTTACCCCTGGGGAAAGAGCCCCCGATACCCATTGGATAGAAGGTTGGGTGGACCCCAGAGTCAGTCTGGATGACTTGGAAAAGAGACCCTACCAAGGCTCGAACTCTGACCCCTCGGTCAGCCAGCCTGTAGCTAGTCGCTATATCGACTATGCTATCCCAACTCCTAGCAAACTGAAGAATTCAAAATCCAGTGACCTCATTGTGAATCAAAACAGTGACCTTCCAGCTTATATAGCATAGTGCCTTAATCAACTAGGCTACTGCATGCCCCAAGTTCTCGAATACAAGTTACAGTGAAAATCAATATACAAATCAAATGTATGGAGAAATGAATGGCCAGATATATACAGGTGGCTCAAATGTGACCCAGAATTTTCATTGTTTCTCTTAAACAACAATTTGAGGTGTTATTTTTGTGCAGCCACTTCATATTTCTCTCCTTCACACATTATCCACACTAGCATGCATGTGCTTTGTCATACTGATGTCATACTGAAAGATGTTATCTGTAGAAGTTTATGAAGGTGGAGCAATGTTGTGTATTGATATTTTGGCAACAGACGGTTCAAAACCAGATGACATTCAAAGTCAATTAGTACTGTTCAAGAATATGGACTGTAAGAAACATTAGTGTACGAGTACGGTACTGACACAGTGTGCAGTCTCTACCATGGCTACAAACAACATCGCAGGAACAATAACCCATGGACTACTGAGCCCCACCACATGACTACCTGCTAGGCATTCCATGGCTGCTTGTGGCTAAATGCAGTTGCACAGAAAATCCCGCAGTATTTCCTCAGATTACTTTCAAATGATCACAGGTACAAATCACTTGAAAGCTCATTCTTTACTCTAAACACTGGTATATCACACCTGATGCCACCTATTGATAGAAATGCTGCAGTAAGTCATTAACAATGAGCCAATCTCTTCAAGTGTAGTAGTTTTAATGCCAGTACCTCACACCGACAAACTGGCTCACCGTGTGCAAAGGGTTAACAAAGCTAAGAAGCTTATTTTGGATGAATGCCATGATTCCATGTGTGAAAATTTAAACTAGTGAATATCAGTGTCTTTAGCATAATCATTGATGAGCACCTTAGCTTTCAAAGAGCAAGTACAAAGTAGCAAAATAAAATAAAATAGGATTCCAAAATTATGAATGATGATGACATATGTAAGAAAACCATACATGGATTAAATATGTGAGGATTCAACCAAACATTCATCTTACTTGGTGATGAGCAGAAGAAACCATCACTGGAAATGTGTTGGTGGTTGTGATCATGATCCAGGGGGTTAATCCCAGAATTCAACATTTCTTTCAGGACTGCTATTGGATCTACTTTTCTGTTTCTATCAGTATCATTTGATCCTTGGAAAACCTGTGAAACAGAGATTAACCCTTTTAACACAGCAGTGTGATGTACATATTTCCAATCACTTAAAACTTTAAATACAATTAAACAAATGGAACACAACAGCTTCTAGTCCATGTTGATAACCTTAAATGCCTTAAAGAGAAACATGGAAGGGATATAAAGAGGTTAATCCAGAGTAAATATGAAGAAAACTAATTTTCATTTCATGCATCCTGTTGTGTTATTATATGTACAATTCTTTATTAGAGTAAGTTGCCATATGGTAATCATGTGTTTGCCTGATGATGGCTTTAATAGCCGAAATTGCTAATTTTAGCCTTGATCATTGTATTGTTGTGTTGCGATGGACTCTAATAAAGAATTGTATGAAGAAGACTAAGTACATGTTGATGTCGTGTCACCCAAATGCAGGACAAAACCGTAACATAAAGATGGATACCAGATCCTTTGAAAATGTGGCAAAATTCAAATATTTGGATGACAAACAAATCAAAACTTATACACTTACTGTGTTTCTGGACATTATCCATTCTCCTGCTTTTATTTAAAACACACCATGTTTTGGGGACAGGATCTGTCTTCATCTTCAGGTGGAACCTACTCAGTTGGGCCCAATCAACAGAGCTAATCTCTATCTCTAGTCACCAGCAAAATTTCATTAATGACAAAATTAAGAAGAGATTAAATTGGAGGAATGCTTGCTATCATTCAGTTCGGAAACTTCTGTCTTCCTATCTACTACCGAAAAACCATAAGAACTGAAATACACAAATTTTAATTTTTTCTGCTGTTTTATGTGGGCATGAAACTTGGTATTTCTCACCAAACAATGCTTGAATGTGGGCAGTTCCCACAGAACTTTGACTAACAGTGTTTGAAAACAGGGTGCTGATATCAATATTTAGACCTAAGACGGATGACATAACATGAGGCTGGAGAAAAATGGATAATGAAGAGTTTCATAATTTGCACCCCCCACTAAATGTTTGGATCAGTAAAACAGGTGAGATGGAAGGTGTACACAATACACATGACAGAGATGATAAATGCACACAAAAATTTAGCTGTGAAACCAGAATGGAAGAGAATACTTGGGAGACATGGGCATAAATAAGAATATCCTACTAAAGTAAAATATTAAAGAAACAAAGTGTGACGATGTATACGATGATGTGTACTCGATACAACTGGCTCATGATAAGGTCCAATGGGAAGCTTGTGTGAATACAGTAATGATACTTTCAGGCTGTATAAAAGGCAATGTTTTTCTTCATCAGCTGACCTGATGCAAAAATTTTGGTCAACCCTTTAAAGCACTTTGGTTATTATACCTATATACCATCTGCTATAGTGTTCAAGAACTCTGTATTCTGCCCATATGGCTATCAGAAAGTTCCCGGACTAGGCCAAAAAAGAAATGCTGGCTTAACTTACTCAAATATGGCTGCCATTTCCTTCAAAATAGTCTCCTTGGGAACGCATACAGCGATTCCGTAATTTTTTCCCTGCATCAAAAGCACCGTGGAAGTAATTTTCCTGAATGCTGTAGAGTACCACTTACAATTCCCTTTGGATGTCAGACGCTGCTTCAAAATGTTGTCTCTTCAGTTTCATTTTCAATTTGGGAAATGAAGCAAAATCATGGGGGGGGGGGNGGGGGGGGGGGGGGGGTAAGTCTGGTGAGTGAGGAGGATGGGGAATGATAACCATGTTGTTGTCAGTCACAAACTCTGAGGTTTTCAGGGACGTGTGGGCAGGTGCATTGTCATGATGAAGGAGCCAGTTGTGGTTGAACAAATGTTCCAGTCTTTTTTCATCACATGTTTTCTCTCAAGTGTCTCAAAATGTCACAGTGAAAGTCAGAGTTGACTGTAGTGTTATAAGGAACATATTTGTGGTGAACAATCCCCTTCACATAAAAAAAAAAACAACCAGCATGCTCATTACCCAACTCTGGACATGCTACGCCTCTTTTGCTCTTAGTGTTTGTGGTCTCATCCATTGTGATGATTGTTGCTTTGTTTCTGGATCATAACCATAAATCTAAACTTTCTCACTCATTATAATCCTAGAGATAAAAGCTGGGTCCTCATTAGCCTTTTCTTGTACTCGTAGCTCAAGACACATGTCTGTGCACCATTGGTTTTGATCATCTGTCAAGAGTTGGGGAACAAACTTCGCGGCAACACAGCACATGTTCAAATTTTCTGTTCAGATCTCCTGGCAAACTCCTTGACTGATCCCAACAGTGTTTGCAAGCTCAGTATTGTTCAGCAACAGTCTTCATCAATGAGTTCTCAAATTTCTTCAACATTTTCTGTCGTTCTTCTGGTGCCTGTTTGCCCTGAACAATTGTCATCTTCAACTGGTGCTTGACCAGCCTTGAAACGTGAATGCCATTCAAAAATCACTGTCTGGCTTATAGAATGTTCTCCAAAAGCTTTATGAAGGGTTATGGTAGCAGATTTACCGAGCTTCAAGCGAAACTTGATAGACACATTGCTCAATTGTGCCATCCATCGCAGACAAAACGAAACACGGAGACATAAAAGTACATATGTAAAAACAATGAGTGTTCACAGCATGGTGTCATGTGGCAGACTGATGCAATAGGCTTTTGAAAGTGTGACCTTGGCCTCCCCTGTCATCTTTTCCCAAGGCAGTTACAATAGTAACAGTCCAGGAACTTTCCAATACACCTCGTATTTATGTGTTTCATACAATTCTTACAATAAACAGAGATGATCTCCCTAAACAGCATTAACCAGCTGTTCTTTATAACAGAGATGCTGTGTTTTCTGTGAGAAAAGAATCAAATTTGTAAATATCGTTAGCTAAATTTCAGGTTTCAAAGGGTTAAGTCAATCATGAAAAGTTAAACACCTCTGTCTAGTGTGACTGGTGAAGATTCTTTTTATTTCAATCATCTTCACCCTTACATGTTTCGGTCTTCAGAGACCATCATCAGAGGGGCACCTTTACATCAATACAGTTAGAAGCCACTATTACAATACATTTCTATATGTATAATATAAACTCTGTTGTAAAGGTAACACTTTATTGTAGTTCTTGTCCCCCTTCCTTTACACTACATGTTTCGGCCACAACTGGCCATCATCAGGTGTATTCCACTTCACGTAGCTGTCACACTGCACTCAGTATTAACATTTAAACTCCAGATTTACAACTGTTCATTGCTCTGTTGTCAATCAGCACCTGATATTCCAGAACTTCCCTTGTCGATTTTGTCAATTATTTTATTATTATTGTCAAGATTTTAAACATAACTGACAAAATCAACAAGAAGAGTTCTGGAATGTCAGGTTCCAATTGACGACAGAGCAATGAACAATTGTAAATCTGGAGTTTAAATGTTAATATTGAGTGCAGTGTGACAGCTACGTGAAGTGAAATACACCTGATGATGGCCGGTTGTGGCCGAAACATGTAGTGTGAAAGAAACGGGACAAGAACTACAATAAAGTGTTACATTCACAACAGGGTTTATATTATATACATAGAAGTGTGGAATGTAACAGGATGCTTAAATATAATATTACAATACATGTTCTAAAAGTTAAAATGTATACATACAATATTAATAATATACAATTGGGTTTAAAATCTATAGTCTTTACAACTACAGCAGCTGTTAAATACATTAAAATATTTATGATTGGTTTGTTAAGACTCTATTGGAATTCATAAACCAAGAAGGTTCATGTCGTCCCTCTTATTATTTCTTTTGACAGGGGCCGAATGTGTGCCACCTTGTCGTTCTCAAGAAGGGGGTTCTTTGATGTTGTCCTCTATTGTGTTTGTGGCACACTGTGTTGTTTTATTAGTGTGATGGACCAGAATGAAACAAATCAAATTCACTGAAGCTGGTTAAGTTAAATTCAGTAATCTCAAACTATGAATACTGTATTATTCATTGCTAACCTCTGATGTGTTCAAAGCATAGACCCAGGTTGGGGTACTTTCTGTGTCACCTGGTATGCTGCTCACTCCTGTCCGGACCACACCTGTTACGTCTTCTGGCAGATTATCTAATGCTGTCATATTGGGGGCAAGAATTGTACTAGTTTCCTGTGATCCATAGCCCTAAAACACAAAAAGTTCAATGCACTTTGATAACTTCTTTTCTACTCCTCCATGGTGACTAAATATGCTAAATATAAGAGGAAAAATAAATGGAAAGAAACATATACTCATAGCAGATTCTTTCTTATATGAATTGCATTACTGACTAACTCCCATGAATGCCAAGTACTCTTGGATATTCGGCTGTGTCAAAATGGAAAACATTTCCAATGTTTCAGAAACTGTCAATGTCTTCACCATCAGGGAATGATGTCAGATTAATGTATATATGAATGGATCAATGGTGGGGTTGTGTCAAAACTGCGGATAGAGATGGAAATGGTTTACTTCGAACGTTCCAACCATTTGTTCCATTTCAAGTGATTGAGAGTTAGCGTCATATAAATACCAGGGAAGATTTTAAAATGTAAATGGGAATAAAATGCAGTGTATTGTGGTAATGTTGAAATAATAGCTATCTGTGTAATTTATACAGTGTCTATCAGTATTTATTTTGTATCCGAGGATGGAATCACTCAATCACCTACTGTTATAGTTGGTCAAATTGTAGCTGAAAAAAATGTTATGTCTGTTGTTTAGCAGTGAATTGGAAAATTATCACTGTGATGCTCTGTTGCCAGTTAAAGAAAAAGGAGGTTATGTACTTCTGACACAGTTTGTTTTTGAAGGAAACCTTTGCCAAAAACATTTCACTTAGATTCCAGCACCACATAGAACATACTGTTATTTTGCCAAGTTTAGTATCTTAGTACAAACGTAGCTGCCATTCTAGAACTTCTCAAGTTACTGATATAAGGTATTCTTCATGTCATTTATTTTAATAATTTATGCATTTCCTTCTCAATAGCAGTACCATGCAGTATATGAAGGGGGACCCAAAAATAACCGGAAACGACCTGTTGCGGGCGCATGCTTTGTAGTTACGAGTTGTGCTGCTAGGTGGTGTTAGCTGGGGTCTCCCGCGACTGTTAGTGAGCTGGCGTCACTCCGCGTTAAGTGGTTTGTCTGTGGTGCTCTGTTGTGTGCGTTCCTGTTTCAACCCTTTGGCGATTAGTGAGATGGCCGACCAGAAGGAACAAAGAGTGTGCGTGAAATTTTGCTTTCTGTTAGGGAAAACTGCACTTCACTCTTCAAGTCGCGGCAAACATTCACGCAGTTTTCTCTTTGGTCATCTCCGAGCAAGCGAGGAACAAATTTTGCAGACACCCGTCTCATGTGCAAACCTTCGGTTAAAATTCGCTGGACCGTGCTCCATGAGATGTTCGTTTCCTCAGAAAGTTGGTCAATGGTCTTTCGACGATCTTCATCAATTGCACGCTCACTCTTTGTTCCTTCTGGTCGGCCATCTCACTAATCGCCAAAGGGTTGAAACAGGAACGCACACAACAGCGCACCACAGACAAACCACTTAACGCAGACTGACGCCAGCTCACTAACAGTCGCGGGAGACCCCCAGCTAACACCACCTAGCAGCACAACTCGTAACTACAAAGCATGCGCGCGCAACAGGTCGTTTCCGGTTATTTTTGGGTCCCCCTCGTATAGTGTTATTCTACCATCACACTGATACCAACCTCAAAAGATAGGAAACACAAGCAAAGTATAACAAAATCATCTGGAACCTACAACACACAAGATTACTTCACAACACTGTTGGTACAACATACCTCCATATATGGGAGATAATATGCCACTGCAATAGAGAACTAAAAGATTGAGGACCATTACAAGTAGCAAGCCATTCACGAACACCATCCAAGAGGACCACTCTGATCCCACCATTAAACTAGAAATTCCATATTAGACACACATGCACACATCCATTAAACCACACACAATACTGACCACAATACACCAATATTATACACAAACCCACATATAACTTCAACATCAGTTATGATTTTTAATGTTTACATACTAAATTATATCACACATTTTCATGTGAGAAATAGACACATTCTAATGTTAACTTGCAAATTCAATGACTCTGTATTTTATTTAGTTTTAAACCACCTGATGAAGATCCACTAAGACTGAGTCAGGTAGATGTATAGTATAACCATAATGAAATTAATTTTTACACTCTTCTTAATTTTGTCTAATTTTTACTATTAAGGAAATTGTTGTGGTCACTATATACCATGATTTTATAACACAACAGGATGCAAAGAATAAAGATTATTCTGTCATGTTCAGCATCTTAGTACACATGTAACATGCCTTCCCAAAACCTTCCAAGTTATTGAGGTTAGGTGTTTCTGATGACATTTATTGTATCTGAAACAATTTTCTGTTGAAATTTCAATGGGCTTTATACTGATTCGAGATAATAATCTGAAGTTCACTGATACCATCATAGGACTGCAAAGTTACATCATATCAATATTTTCTGAATGATTCCCTCCCATAAATTCAGCCCTTGTGTTGATAATCGGTGACATGACTATCACAGTTCTGTAGAATTGTTACAATGCTGAGATATGAACAGACATGCCAATATAGATGCCACCAGGTAACACAGTAATTCCACATACGTTTGAAATAACATTCTGTGAGACGTTATACTGAGGTTGTTTAATGCGCCTGGGATTAACTGTGAGCTGACCAGAAGAGCCTGCTGCATCCAGCAGGTTCTTCCATGCTGTCGACCTCTGTGCCAATGTGGTGCCCCTCGCCTCAAAACCCTGCACAGACATGTTCAGTTTTGAGATTGTATACCCACTTTCAAAAAAAAGTAAATGAATAAATACATAAAACATATAATTTATAAAAAATGAACAACCTTAATAATAAATGTATTAATTTACAGTGATAGTGGTGGTGGTGGTGGTGATGATAACTCGGATACCTTAGTTCATATGCTGAACAGGCTATGGGCTGGATGACTGAGGACATGAGGCTCAATTCCCAGCAGGGGCAAGAAATGTTTCTCTTCTCCACAGCATACAGACCAGCTTTGGAGACCACCCAGTCTCCTGTCCAATGGGCATTGCAGCCTCTTTTCTTAGGGATAAAGCGGCTGGGACATGACGCTGATCATTCACCTCTATCAAGTACCAAGGTAAAGAATGCATGGAGCTACATCTCCGCTCCCCATACATCTTCATAGTGTGATGCTCGATTTTACATTAATGGTGATAATAGTAATAATAACAATCATGTTACATATTAGGTCATGTGACCTCTTGTGGTTTTCTTCAGTGACCTTCCTGAACTCCTCTTCTCCATAACGATGTCTGCTTCTATAATCTCTTCTGGTACTTTAGTATTTCCCACTCTTCATATATATTTGTTTCTGTATAGTTCACTTGTTAATTGTAAATAGATCTGATGATGTTGTAGTGCTCATAAACTTAAATTCTGTGGCTCATAACTTCTTCATCTCTGCTTTTCTATTAAATAATACACAATAAGAAGAACAACAACTCTAGAAATGTTCACTTCTAACCAGTGCCATATATAGTAAAATTCAGTCTACGCAGAGAGGCAATAGTTAGTTGTAAATCCATCTCCTTGCTAAATGACATGAAAGTTCTTTGTAATTTTCTATTAAAAATTAGATAAAATGAGCTACAGCCTGCAACACTGTTCATCCAATGCAGAGCAGGATTGAGGCCTGGAATGAACTATTACAGCAACACACAAAATATCATAGCTAAGTGATTTTACTCCTGTCCAGTATTCAGGGGGTCCCAGGTTCAAATCTCAATCTGGAGGTCAGTTATCGTGACTTAAGTTATTTGCACCTTTCCTCTGTCTCTCCAAGGAAACATGGGAAAGAACCTCATATTAGGCCATGACCAAATCTTTTGCAGCTCGGTATTCACTACTTTCCTGTCATTTGATGCTATTCAGTCTCAGCTACTCACACTGTCGTTATATATAAACCATAAATAAATACATACCAGAAATAACGATGATGAAATAATAATAAAAATGTGTTGCCATAAAAGCAAAGAGTTCAGTAATGAAATTTCATGACCATCCCTGGATATGATCCAGTTCTGTATTGTACAAACCATTTCTCTAACAATCTATGGTAATATTATTTTATCACCTTTTAGATTTTACAATTAGCTACTTTACAGGATGACTCCCCAAGATTTCCTTGCACGTATTCCTATTTTGACCAGAAGCTGATACAAGTACGACACAACAGCAATACATAATACACAGACAGAACAAAGTATGTGCACGCTTCATGTGTGTCAACTCAAGGAAAAGTTAAAAAAGTGACTGGCAGTGCTGAAACACTACAAATAAACACAGAACTCAGCCACATGACTGAAATACATGCAATGTTAATGAAGAACAATTAATAACAGACATACAATTTAAAGCTTTCATGATAGCGGCTGTTCATACTGTAGTCCTTTATGCTGTGACACATTTTCATATACACTTGGTCACCGACTTACGACCGACTTCCATTCTGAGAGGTCATAAATTGATCTGGTCATATGTTGGCCATATGTTTATTAACAGTATTTTTTAACCTTTCTAATCTTTTTATCATCTTTATAATTTATTTTTAAAAACTTTTATATTTTAATCATCTTTTATTTTTCATTTTTTGTGGTCGTACTACATGCGGCCGGTCATAAGTCAATGACCAAGTGTAGTAGGTGGATACCTGTGTTTTGAAGGAGCAATATGCTTCTTCACAATTCCATTTCTCTCCTATGATAAAGTACAGTACTGTGGTTGTGAGAAGGAATGTTTTCCTGTTCAATGTTCCTACTGCCCAAGATCGGGTTCCATCTCCTCACCCCCTTCCCATGGGTCTGAGTGACCTCCTTCCTTTCATCCCAAATAATGCCTCATCCTACATACTTTAATCATGAATCATTGGTAATACGAACTGATGAGAGAAGACCCGTAGAAAAAAATTTGTTTTATGATTAGGGTAACTAGGATATACCCATTCAGATCATAAGAGAAATGTGAGATTTAAAAATTCCATAAGCAACAGAATTTATAGAACAATGTTAAAGAAAGCAGACAGGTTGAGCCGTGACAGGATTCCAACAAAGACCTTAAAATATAAGCCAAAATGAGAAGGTTGGTATGATCCCTAATATAATTAAAAGAATTTTTTGTACTATCTGCAAAAGGTCTCAAGAGGCTGGAAAGAATGACAACTGTCATCGGTTGCCAAAACTTGCAATAACAATACACACAGCCACCATTTACAGTCTATTCTATTTGTGACTTACCCTACAAACTGCTATTCTCCCTGATGGCTATACAAAAGCTTGCCTAACTAAAGTCTTCTCATGGATTAGTGACAACCTGTTACTTTTGTATAAACAGAGCCCTGACGTCTCACCTGTGACCAAAATGTTATTGAAACCAACCCAATCCTCCTGCTAAGTATCAGTTTCCATTACTCAGAATCCTAATGTACTTACATAAAAACTTTCTTACATAGGCAAATGTAACATATACAACATCTACTTGAATACAAATTTTTAGCTACAATGCACTGTCACAGAGTTTAATGTTAGAATTAGGAATCATTTCAAGAAAGATTCCAGAAGACAGTTCTGGATATTGTCTGAAGATGTCCATGGTATGCTTACCATCTGAGGATCAGAAAAGTCAGGTGTTTTCATGAAGATGAGGGGTACAATAAGGCAGGATCCAGCAAACACTGCGACCACCAAAAGAACCACACATGAGTAATGTGCTAAAATGCGAGCAAACCTGCAACAAATAACACCAGTTTCCACAAATACATTTCTAATTATACATTACTGTTGTTGTTACCAGCGGTGGCTGAACTTGTATGATTCAGAAACTAATTAAAGAGCAATGGATCTTTCAATTACCAGTATCCTATTCGCCTTACATTGTAAAGTATTCATTTATTTCTCCTTACACATGATAAATGTCGAAATTTTAGACCTTATATTGGCATATCTAACAGTACGTAACATGTGTCTGTGGTTTATCTGAATTATTTGCTCAATTCTTCCAACCATGTGCAAGCGATGACACTCTCCACGTTCGACGGAAATACTTCGAGGGGGTGGGGACGCCTTCGGATTTGAATTTACCGGCAGGCTGTGCACTTACCAATTCATGACTTTATTATTCGGCGGATTGATGACCTCCAACGAGCTGTGGTGTCCGGGATTTCCGACATCACACCTGGGTGAAACAAAAAACGGTCAATTACTTATTGCATAAACAATCACTCTATCCTGATTCGAACCCAAGAAACAGTACCAATTAATAAATTAACGGTTAAACCGAAACACAACTTAACGTACATTACCAACTCCCAGTGCACCCCGACGACAGAATAAAATTCCGACGTTCGAGGTGCCGACAAACGTTAATGGTACGGATCTGCAGGCCGGCCAACCGTCGCACATAATTCACTTTCTTGTCCTTCCAGATGAATTGCACGCACACCGCTCCCCATTCTGAGTGGCGGATTGGGCCAGGCATTCTGTTTCGTTCTAAAGTGTACAAGACTTGTCTGCGGTGTGGACCTTCACGGTTCTACTTCTGACAGGGGCAAGAATTTTTGCTTTTCATCACCGCGTCCGGAATGCCTTGGGATCCAGTCAGATTCCGCTCTTTTTTTTTCTTCGCAGCTGTGATTAGTGGCAATACAATTTTTTTAAAATGTGAAGTCATGTATTCTGGCAGAAATTTACAGACGGCTTCGAGCAACGAATATATACGTATTATAACAGTTCTCCCGAGTTATTGGACAGACGGCCCAGCGGGACCCAGAGCCTGTCCGAATGTTGTGGAGAAGACAAAAATCTCTATCCGTGCCACAAATCATACCCCTACTCGCCGATCGACCAGTCAGTAGCCTGTTCACTATACTGATTGTGTTGACGGGTTATAAGAATGTTTATTTCTTTCTTTACGGCCTATTTAACGGCACCTTCGACGGCTTTGTCTGTATAGCACTGAATGATAAAATTATTAGTGAGTAACGAAATGAAAAAATATATAAAGAAATGACCATGGCCTGATTAGATGTAATGTCCCTACATTTGCCTTGAGGGACTGAAAGAAGAATGTTATGTCTCAGGAGAACTGGTCACGGGCGAGATTTGAAACTGAAACATCCATCCTACGAATATAGTCACTGCAGAGTGACGCTGGCTGATAAAGGAAAGGTACGNTGTAATGTCCCTACATTTGCCTTGAGGGACTGAAAGAAGAATGTTAGTTATGTCTCAGGAGAACTGGTCACCCGGCCGAGATTTGAAACTGAAACATCCATCCTACGAAAATAGTCACTGCAGAGTGACGCTGGCTGATAAAGGAAAGGTACATAATGTGAGATATCGTTTTTGTAAGCATCCTGTTGTGTGTTATGTATGACATTCTTAATGCATCAGTCAAGTTCCCCGACTAGGTCAAAAAAGAAATGCTGGTTTAACTTACTCAAATATGGCTGCCATCTCCTTCAAAACAGTCTCCTTGGGAACGCATACAGAGAACCAGTCGTTTTTTACACGCTTCAGAAGCACAGTGGAAGTCATTTTCCTTTATGCTGTCGAGTACCGGTTGTGGTTCCTTCGGATGTCAGACACCGTTTCAAAATGTTGTCTCTCCAGTTTCATTTTCAATTTGGGAAACAAAGCAAAATCACAGGACGTTAAGTCCGGTGAATGGGGATGATGGGGAACGATACATATATTGTTAGTCACAAACTCTGTAGTTTTCAGGAACGTGTGTGCAGGCGCGTTGTCTTGATGAAGCAATACCAGTTGCGGTAGCGCAGAAGTTCCGGTCTTTTTCGTCGCACATTTTCTCTCAGGCATCTCAAAACGTCACAGTAAAAGTGAGAGTTAACAGTAGTGTTAGGAGGAACAAATTCACGCGAACAATCCCCTTTCACGCAAAACCACACAGACAATTAGCACGCTCTTTTTTTGAACTCTGGACCTGCTGCACTTTTTTTCCTCTCTCTCTTGGTGGTTGTGGGCTCTTCCACTGCGACGATTGTTGCTTTGCTTCTGGATCATAACCGTAAATCCAACCTTCCTCACCATTATGATCTTAGAGATAAAAGCTTGGTCTTCATTAGCCTTCTCTCGCACTCGTGGCTCAAGACACATGTTTACGCGCCGTTTCTTTGATCGTTTGTCAAGAGTCGGGGAACAAACTTCACGGCAACGCAGCGCATGTTCAAATTTTCTGTTAAGATCTCCTGGTAAACTCCATAACTGATTCCAATGGTGTCTGCGAGCTCATGGATTGTTCGACAACGGTCTGGTGGATGAGTTCTCGAATTTTTTCAACATTTTCTGTCGTTTTGCCGTTGCTTGGTCGCCCTGAACGCTCGTCGTCTTCGACTAGCCTTGAAATGTGAATGCCATTCATAAACCACTCTCCTGCTTAAAGAAGGCTCTCCAAAACCTCATGAAGAATTTCAAGGGTTTCGGTAGCGGATCTACCGAGCTTCACGCGAAACTTGATGCAGACACGTTGCTCGATTTCTCCAACCATCGCAGACAAAATGAAACACAAAGTCGAAAAAGCACTCGTGTAAACAAAATGCGTGTTCAAAGTGCGGTGTCACATGGCAGACTGATGCAACAGGCTTGCGGAATTGTGACCTTGGCCTCTCCTCTTGTCTTCTTTCATCGAGGCAGTCACAACAGCCCGATAACTTTCCGATATACCTTTACTAGCATTCGTTTATTGTGTGGAAGTATGTTTCGACCCTCCTGGGTCATCATCAGACAATCATTACATGTATATGACATTCGTTATTGTGTTGTCTACCGATATGGATCGAGATCGGTGGTTTATAAAATTTTCATCCGATTTATTTTATACCGTATTTACGCATGTATAGGCCGCACATTTTTTGCCAAAAATTCAAGAGGAAAACTGGGGTGCGGCTTATATTCGAAATATTCGAAATCACACTTCATATAAAAGAATTATATTCATAATTAGTTATACAGAGTGTAATACTCCTGAAATAATATACCAAGAAAATTATTTTTTCTGTAATTTCTGCCTGAAAATTGTGCTGCGGCTTATACACGCACGCGGCCTATACATGCGTAAATACGGTAATTTAAATTGTTAAATATAACGACAACAGGAAGATGGGACACTACCATGTAACACAAAATAGTTCCAACATAGTCGCTCTAACCATTACGACGAAGTAACAGAATATGTCATCATGCAGAAGATCGCCACAGAAGAAATTAACCTGAACCACTCAGACTCCCAGGAAGGCCGCATATTACACGACATACAACATTACGTCACAAAAATTATCACAGGAATTGCAAATTTTAAGTTTTACATTAATTGAAATTTTATTTTTAACGAAATATATATTTTTATAATTTATATTTAACAATTGATATTAAATGTAAACCGAGCCAATACTTATAAATCACCGATCTGAATCCATCTCGGTAACAATTAAATAAAGAGTGATATATTCATGCAATGATCGCCTGATGACTCAGCACGGTCAAAACATATATCAATACATATACATAATAAACGAATACTAATAGAGTAGTAGTGAAGTTATAGAATTGTTGTATTGACTGTACATTAAGAATACCGTGTAATTTGAGCTGCTTTTTGGAAACGTTATAAAGTAACAAAATCATTGAACATTTTTCTCTGAAGAAGAGAAAAGTTTTCCAAGAAAACATTTTTTTTTACATTCGAATTAACACAGATACATTTCAAGCATGATATATTTTTTCTACAGAAAATACTAACAAGTCACGTTTTTTATTAGATATAATTGGAGTCCTAATATGAGATTCTTATTTTTATTCCAGTAAAACATTTTTTCGCTCCATGTGGGGTACACGAAGCAGTCTTCGTCAGCCCAACGCTCTCTGTGCGCCAACCGAGAGCGCTTCTTACATTGTACCCTTTAATCCTTATGTTTTTCTTGAGACAATAGGCCTGAAGGATTTTAGGTTATTGCGACCACAGTTATGAAAGGTTCTGTCTTCTACAGTAGTATAGTACAATACCATGTAGTCTGGTGAAACTCAACCGATGTTTCGAAGGAATATGTCTCCATCTTCAGGCAGAAAATAAAGGCATTGTTTGCTGCCTACTTCAGGATGGTTCCTTCTTTGTTTACCCTTCAGGACTGAATATGGATGCGACATGTTCTTCTGAAACATCGGTTGACTTCCAAAGGACGGCACGGTGTCATATCCAAGATATCAGAAATCTTCAAAACATAACCAATACTGCCCCAGACACGATTTCCTCTAGTATTTCCTCTGTTCACCTCTGTTTGCCCATGTTCCAATGAAGCAGTTCTGAGTGTTTACCACCTGATTTCAGCGCTTACTTCGGCCACAACCGAAACGTCCCGTATTAGGGAACTATCTCATAATTGGCTTGTTTCATCTACAGACGTGAGGAAAAAAAGAGAAGTAAAGAGAAGAGAAAAAGGCATAGGATACAGCGATAGAAACAACGGACCATTATCAAGACGTCTGGAACATCCGATATCCGGTTAAGTGTGGGAAGTGTCAAAAATATTGTCCATTAATTCGAGTCGCCTGTGACTCCTGGCACCAACCCTCTTACCCGCTTTACAGGAAGACGTGGGCAGAGAGTAAATGTTTCGCCCAGCAAATATTTCGTACCGATTTTATAGTATATATATATATAATCCCAGCTTCCACTCTTCCCTATGATTCATGGGCCGATTTCTTCCTCTCCTTGCTTTTCTTTGTTTACTTTGCTGTCAGAGGAT